GGCAAGGAGGGTTGCCATGAGTTCAATGCCAGCCTGGGCTACATAGTGAGTGCAAAGCATCCAGAACTGAAAAGTGAACTCTGTCTCAAAAAAAAAACAATAGCATCCAAAAAATGAAATAGCTAGGAACCAATCTAATGAAGGAAGCAAGAGACCTTTACACTGAAAACTAGTAAAAGGAGATTGAAGAGGATATCTGAAAATGAAAAGAGATTCCTAATTCATAAGTAGGAAGAAAAAAATACAGTGAAAATGGCCATACTCCCCAAATTGTTACACATATTTAATATAATCTTGATCAAAATACAAATAGCATTTCTTACAGAAATAAAAAAAAATTCTAAAATTAGTTTGGAACCAGAAGAGACCCAGAATAACAAAAGTAATTCTGGGCACCAAAGGAAAGGCAGGGGGCATCATGATTCTTGTCTGGAAATTATACTCCAAAGCTGCTATGATAAAAACAGCATGGTACTGGCAAAAAAAAAAAAATCAATGAAACACATTAGAAGATGCAGAAACAACTCCAAACACACTGAATCACCTTCTCTTTGACAAAGAAGCCAAACGCCTTCACTAGAAGAAAGGTAGCCTCTTCCACAAATAGTGCTGGAAAACCTGGCTTTCCACGTGTCAAAGAATCAGTGTGCAGATTCCTTTAAGGCAGATTCCTTTTAAGCCTAAAACTAGGCTAGAAGGTCCATTTGGCCCAGCTACTTGCTTTCTTGGTGTCATTCTGAGAGGATTAAAAATAAGGTATGCATACCTCTGTTTGTAGTAGTACACTTTATAATAGTTAAATCTTGCAAACAGTCCAAATGCCTATACACCATGAATGGATAAAGATGATCTGAATTTTTGTACAATGGCATACTACTCAGCAACTCAGCATCAAGAAGAGTAAACTTGAGATGTTTTTAAAATTAAAGGATACACTTTGAGACCATACTCTTAAGCGAGATAAGTCAACACATGTTTAAATACTTCATTGTTTCTCTGTTGTGAGAAACTACAAGTGTAAATAAGGACCTAAATGTAAAATAGATATTAGGAAGTGAGAAGAAAATGTTCAAATAAGAAGGGAAATGACAAAGAGGGATGGAGTAGGAAAGGTAGGGACAAGGAAAGAGAAGAATAGAAGGGAAAAATGCGAAAATTGCTTGTAAATAAGGAAGGCAAGAGTGTAGGGAATAGAAGGGAATAGAAAACAGAATCAAGATATATCATTACAGATACAAATTCTTTATGATGAATAATATAATTATGTATATTTAAAATGTGCTTATAAAATTTTTAAAAATAAAATTCAGCGAAAGTATCACTTCCTCTTGAAGCAGTTTTTAATTAATTCAACTGCTGGTTTGCCTGTTATAAGGCAGAGTTCTAAGTGCTTAGTATATAGTATATGATCTTTCTAAGTTGTCCCAATTCTGTGAGGGAGATGGGAGTCCAAAAACCCCAGAGAAGTTACTTGACACACAATACATAGCTGAAAAGTAGCAGAATCCTGATTCTAGCCCCACCTATTTGATTCAATGGACTCTGTCCTTAATTACGAGTGGTTTTGTTCCTTCTCCTCATAACTTTTTACACTTAACTAAATGTTCTAAATAGTACCATATGATCCAATATTTATTATTTTTCTGCTTGCACACACTAGAATCTTCCATTAGATTCCCAATGTGTAGAATGTTGACCTCACCTCTGTCTAGTACCAAACAACAAACTTACTCATTATTTGAACCTAGAAAACCAACAACAGTTTAATAAATTAGAGGGAAACTATATTTTTCACATTATTGTTGAGTTTGCTAGTGGCTTGGGTTACTCATAGTTCTCCCAGCCTTGTGGAACCATTTGCCCCTCCAGCATACTACAAAACATGAATCACAAAACAGCACATTAATTTCCATTCAACAAGTCCTTAAAAAATTGTCACTTATGTGACTAGCATTTTGCCAGGCATTTTGGGGGCAAAACATTTAAGAGGTCCAAATGGAATCCTTCTTCTAAAAAACCTTGTTATTGTGTTGCAGAGACATGTGACATACTTTAAATTACATAAATACCAAATATTTGTGTGCTTCCTATAAGTATATACGCACACATTAAATGAGTATATGAATTAACACAAAATATGAATTCATATGTAAAATAAACTGTAGACAGTGCCTTGCATGCATTAAGACCTCAGTTTAGCAGTAAATAAATAAATAACAAATCCATCCTGGAGGTCTAATGTACAGCATAATGAGCATAATTAACAGTATCATACTACAATGGATACTTGCTAAAAGAACAGATTTCAGACCCCTCCCTTGTCACATGTTAAACAGGTAATGGTGTGAAGAGATACATCAGCTTGCTTCATTGTAGAAATCATTTTGCTTTGTTTACATACATCAAAACATATTGTGCAAGTAAGTACATACCATAAAAAGAATAATAAATCCATTCATTCGTAGCCAAGGGAGGCTGATGAGAATTAATCTGTCATTACTCAGGACTCACAAAGATTTATTAGTAGGGTTGTCATTTATTGTCAAAAGCATCAATCAACAAACATTTATTGTGCTTCCATTCTGGCCCAATTCAGAACTTACAGTCTGACAAAGTCAATTCTCAGAAACAGGAGAAAATATTGAAATTGGATTTTTTCTTCAGGGGATCTCTTCTAGAAAATATTTATGAACTAAATTCCTCATATAAATCCACTTTTCCCAATATTCTTTTGGTTTTTTTCTTTGAAAGTAGAACAAATATGGATAATTTAGTACATGTAGTTTAGGTAAACTCTGGTGGTGCTTTAATTTTACTATTGACATAAATATATGCACGCTATCGCTTGTGCTTGTACTTGAATTTGGGTGTTACCCTCGGGTTAGGTAAATTAAATGAAAAATATCACCGTTAGTCTAGCATCAAAACAATATGTAGTTCTCTGATTCTATGACTTACTTAATGGATCACAATCAAAGCATCAACTAAAGGCTGGTAATTTAAATTATAAGCAGAGAGCTTCAAAGCTGTAACTAATTCATTACTCACACATCTCTCGTTGAAGTAGTAATTTAGAGTCATGTGTGTGTCATTAATTGTAATCTTGTTTCCAAATGACAAGATAAATATCTCAAGGAACATAATGTATTATGTCCATAGGTCAACCGAAATGAATGCCTAAAATAGATTAGCACTAAGTGCATGCAATATGTCATGTTTATACATTTTAAGAAGGATAAATTGTATTAACGTTTTGCAAATTTTTCATTACAGATCATCAATGTTTAGGTTTAAGTGAATTAATGCCCCATTTAGTTATAGCATTCTCTGAAAATACCACACACAGAGAAATATAAAAATCCCTGACTGAAAATCTAATACTAGAGAAAAAATAAAACGATATAAATTTTACCCTTCCCCACTAAGATTCTATTGGCTTGATTTACATAAATGTGAAATATACCCTAAGTATAAAATAGATGTATTTTGACACTCCAGTGACTAAAAAGGGCAATACAACAGTTAAAAACAAAAGTAGGCAATTATGAAAATGCCAGGATATGCTAATCTCTGCTTATATTGTTAAGTCTCTCTTTCAGCTGGGACCATATGAGAACCTCATATAGTCCTAGAGTAGAAAACCAAATTGTCCTCCAATAAGACATGGAGAAATACATGCACAATAAAGATACAGACTGTTGTTGTGATTATGGATGAAGTTTGGAGTTGGTTTTCATATTTGAGCTGAAATTAGACCACTGTGATTTCAGCATGAATGAATAGGTTCCCTACCTACAAGGTTGAGATCATAGGGGAAGCATTTAAACATCCCTTTCATTCACCATGTGTAGGAGCCACACTGTGTTGCTATATTCTCAAGCCAGACTTACCATTCTGAAAGAGCCTTGTGTAATTTCTTCTGTCTTGGCTAAGTATAATGAAGTCATTTAGGGTGCAGTGATGGACAGTGAGGAGTACCTAGCCAACCAAATGCAACCCACACAGATGGGCTTAGCTAGCACTGGTGTTCCTTTGCTTGTTATTTTCTTCTGGGAAGTTTGCTTTTCAAAGTTTGATTGTCTTTAAGCAAGTCAGATCCCTTGAATGAGCAGTTTCCTCTATTCCCTGCTTTCTTGTGCAAAGCCCAGTCTCACGGCAATGCTGCCTGTGGACAGCAGAGCTTATAACTCAGAGTTGTTGCTCCAAGGATGATTGGGCTCTGGTTTTGCAAAGTGCAGTTTGCATAACTGAAATGTTCCAGGCACTGGGTGTCTCTGTGCAAGGTGAGGGCTGAGGATATCTTGGAGCACATTTGTGTTAAATTAACAGGTAAAAGCAGATTCTTGCACCAAGAATTTTTCAGGGAATTATACAGGGAAAGGAGTTTGTTATACAGCTACAGAAGGTGTCTGCATTTGGTAGTGAGATGGCAATTGGGTCTGTGACCAAGATATAGCCAATAAGAGTTTATTCTAGCCTGAAAGCTTGTGAGAGTAAGAAAGAAAGACGCAGACCTTAGTACATCCCAGGAAACACTGACATTTCTCAAGTGAAAAATTTGAAACACCCCAGGAAATTCAGAATAGATCATTTAGTTAATCTGTTCCCTGAAGACAAAAATATTTAAAACCTCTTCTGAGGGCCATTTTTATGAAGCTATGTCAACAACTTCAATTTTAAAAATAACATACAGGATAGAAGTTCTGAAGGCAAGTATAATTTCTGAAATTCCTTGCTTACATTTATTGAGCTGCAGCATTGTAAATTTAAAGACTTCAGATTCCAATTACCACCACAAGCTATGTGACACTGGACAAATTTTTCAACATCTCTGTGCCACAGTTTCTTTGTGTACAATCTGAACCATAAAGGACAAGGTAGAAGCAACTAGCATAATGTGTATTACAGTCAAAGCAATAATCACAATACTCCTGCTCTTACACATCTATATCATTGTTAGAATTACTCATCTAAAGGTGCCATAACAAAATAGCATAGACTGAGCAGCATAAATAATGTAAATTTATTTTCTTATAGTACTAGAGGCTACACACTCAAGATGAAGTTGCTGCACATCTAATCTCTCCTGAGGCCTCTCCTTTGCAGACAGATGGATGTCTTCTTGCTGTGTCCTCAGCTGGCCTCTATACACATGTATCCTCCATGTCTCTTCCACTTCTGAGGTGAAAAACAGTCATACTGGATTAGGACCTCTCTTAGTCACTTTTCTTGTCACTGGTACAAAATACTCAAAACCCACAAATTAAAGGAGGAGAGATTTATCTGGGTGCACTTTCATAGTCCTTGGTCAGCTGGCTCCAGGGCAAGAAAGGCATGGCAGAGGGACATGGTGGAGAAAAAAAATCTCCTCACATCACAGCAGCCTGGAAACAGAGAAAGAAGGAAGGAGTTGAAGAAGCAAATACACCCTTCCAGGTCATGCCCCAGTGACTGACCTCTAACCTGACCCCTCCTCCCAGAGCAAGCCAGCTGCAGCACTTCCATAATCTAATCACCTTTCAAAAGCCCTGCCTATGAGTGCTTGAAGCTCTTGGGGAAATTTTTGATCTAAACCATAACATCCCCTTCCCGACTCCCAAAAGAATTATTGCATCTCTTTATGCAAAATGCATTTAATCCATCTCTAAGAGTTGCTGCAGTCCCTAAGAGTTCTAGCATCACTGAAAAGTCCAAGTCAAAAGTCTCTTCTAAAATTCAAGGCAACCTCTTAGCTATGAGTTCTATAAAAATCAAAAAGAAATGTAAAAACTTCTGACACACAGTGGCACAGGGCAAACATTCCCATTCCAAACAGGAAGAAGAGGGAAACAGCAAGGACTGGGACCAAAGCAGAACTGAAACTCAGCAAGACAAACATTAAACACTGTCCAGACCCTGGGACAGATTTGATAACATATGAACACCAGAGATCTTGGGCATCCTCGGCCCTACAGCAGCTCCTGCAGCAGCGCCATGGCCATTTCCCTGGGAAGGCTTTGCTCTCTCTCTGTGGCCTTCCTCAGCAGGCAGCCACTTTCCAACTTCCTGAAGTATCCACTGCACTTTCAGTCCACACTCACAGCTTCATAGCAGTCTTTATTCTCTCTCACTGACACACTTGCCTGACCTCCCAGGCCTTCTTCTGTAATCTAAATAGAAGCCACCATGACCCCTACCCTGCATTCTGTATGTCTATAAAACCAACTTAGCATTGATGACACCCAGCTCTCCCACCAGCTCAAACAGCAACTGACCCCACCCTTGGATCATGGTTTGGGAGGCTTACAAGTGCCTAAATGGCTGAACTCTGGGAGAGTTGGCCCTGAATGATCTGGACACCCAGAGCTCTCTTTCAAGTCAGAGCTTTACATTTTGCACCCGTGAGCTTCTGAATGGAGATGTCTTTCCAGCAAGGCATTTTCTGCGTTATACTAACGCAAAGTACTTGGCTTCTTTTTAATGTTAATCTGTTTAGCAATCAAGTTCTTCTTGGTCAAAACTTCATAGACTCCAACTTTACAGGAATCTCCTTTCTGGTGAAATTCAAAACTTTCAAAAGAGCTTTTTGTTCCTGTTTCTCAGTGTAAATCTGACTAAAAACAGCATACTGTACTCATGCTGCAAACTGAACATTCGGATGCCTTGAAATTTCTTCCACCAAATTAATTAGTATAGTACCCTTAATCTCAGTCTCCTGCAAAGTGTCAGGATATAAACAAAATGTAGACAAATTTTCTTCCAGAGCATAACACACATGGCCTGGAGTTCAACTACGAATGAATTCTTCCTTCCAAACTAGGAATTTCCAAGTCTGGTTCTTACCATCAGCATTTCTATCACTATTCTTGTCATCTGAGCTCTGAGCAGTATTGCCTATCAGGGTAGACTTACTACATTTTAGGATTTCCTAGCTGGCATTTCCTACCTTTTCCAAACTTCACATTGAACTGATTCCAAAGGTTTCTAAAACACATAATTGGGTATATTCACAGCAACAACTCCGCACTTGGTACCATAATCTGCCTTAGTCACTTCCCTTATTGCTAAGACAAAACGTCCAACAGCATATCCTTTAACAAATTAAAGGAGGAAAAGTTGTATGGTTTTTATTTTTTATTTTTTGACCCACATCTATGGGAAAGGCATGGCACAGATGCATAGTGAAAAAAATCTGATCACACTATAGCATCCAGGAAACAGCAGTGGAGGTAGGGGAGGGGGATACACCATTCCAGGTCATGCCCCCAGTGATCCATCTCTAATCATGTGCCTGCTCCTCACATCAAGTCAGTTGTAGAACTCACATATGTTAATCACCTTTTGCAATCCCTGCCTATGAGTGGATGAGTTTCTTGGGGGACATTCGAAACCGTAAGACCCCACTCTCATGATGCCATTTTGCCTTAACTACCTCTTTGATGCCCTGACTCCAAATACAGTCATAGTCGAGTTAGACCTCCAACATGTGAATGGGGTGAGGAGCATAATAAATTCAATAACAGGCCATAGTATGCCTACCTAGCAGGGATGCTATGAGGATTAGGTGGTTTGGTGTTTGAAAACTATTTAAACAGTGTCTGGTACACTGAAGAGCCATGTTTGTGTTCATTAAATTAATTTTATAAACATTAATTCTGAACCTGAGATGATTTCTATAAAATGAAAGGAGCTCCGTCTTCTTGGCAAATGGAAATCAAGCATGTGATTTCATTATTTATTTTTTCATACCAAACATTTGAAAAATTAGCATCTTATACACATAAATATTTATTACCCTGATATAGTTTCTATGAGACAGGAAGACAAGAGTTTAGCTGTACTGTTCTGGTCCAGTTTCTCATAAGGTTATAATTAAGACATCATTGGAAGCCTTGAGATATTCCCCACCAGTAACCAGCTCAGGTTGGGAGTCAGAGGCAGGCCCTGCCCCTACATGCACTCCAGCAGCCCTCAGGAGGCTTCTGCCCCAGGTAGCCAGCACACACTGGGAAAAACAGCAGCTGGCCCTTCACCAACACACCCAGTGGCCATCACTGGATACCTGTAGCTGGCACTGGCCAGGAGAACCCAGAAGAACCAAATACTTATGCTCCAGAGAAATTGTAGCCAACATTGGAAGTGCCGAGGACCCAACTACCTGCTTATTTGGAAGAACTCAAGAAAATGTCAAGGTGAAGAAGCAAAAGGCAGTCCCTGGACTCCAACCCAAGCAATCAAGTCCAAGAGATGAAAACATGGAAGAGTTGAGCCATACAAGCTGAAGTATCTGAAGTTCTGAAGTGAAGGCAACTGAAGTAAAGAGACAACTTCATGAGGCTACAAAAGAAACTAAAACAGAAATACTATCTCAGGTAAAAGACGAAATGAAAAACATAATAAAAAAATTGCTAAGCAACTCTAAAGAAGATATAGATAAAAAAAAAGGTGCATAGGAAGATGATGGAAGCCATGAATGAACAATATAAGTGAGATTTATAATGCATGAAACGGATTCAAAGAGATATGCAGGAAATTAAAAACCTCAATGAAGGATGGCAAAACCGCTTGAAAGAAACTGAAGATAGACTTTCAGACCTTGAAGACAGGTGTGCAGCCTGTTATCATGAAAGGAAAGATCTCTTAAAAATAACAAGGAACCAGGAAATAACAATTCAATCATTACAAGATGATGCAAAGCAAAATAACTTAAGAATAATAGATGTCAGTGAAAAATCAGAGGCCAACACAAATGACATTAGAATTTTATTTACAGAAATGATAGCAGGAAACCTGCCCAACATTGGAAAAGGATGTGATTTACAGATAAATAAGGCATACAGAACTCCAGCTAGCCATCACCACAATAAATCTATACCCAGACATATAATAATCAAGATTCCAAAAATTCAAAGCAAGAACAGAATATTAAAACAGTTGTTAGAAAAAAAAACCAGATCATCATAAAGGAAAACCCATCAGAATCATGACAGACTTCTCAAAGCCATCAAATCAAGAAGAGCTAAAGTAAAGTATTTAAAGTCCTGAAAGAAAATAACTTCCAACACAGATTGATGTACCCTGCAAAACTATCTTTCAAAATTAACAGAGGAACAAGATATTTCCATGACAAAGAACAACTGAAGGAATCAATGACCACCAAACTACTCTACAAAGAATACTGAAGGACATTCTAGAGAGATACTTTTTTAAAAAGAAAGAAAGAAAGACCACAGTTTCAGGAATAGCGGCAGAAGGGGATCACTAAGCGAGGCAGACAACTGACTAGAGGAGAAAAGTAGGCAGCCAATGGCAGGAAAACAGCATGGCAGAGATGAACCAGTGCATGTTGGTCATCCATTAGTGTAGATGGCCTCAGTTCACCAATAAAAAGAAACACAGGCAGATTGGATCAGGAGACAAGATCCATCAATATGCTTTACTAAAGAACCACATTTAACTAAAAAGCAAATTCATAGGCTAAAAGTCAAAAGAGACAAAACAATGTGACAGGGAATCAGAAAAAAGTAGGGGTAGCTTGTCCACAACCGCAGAATGGATAAGAAAGACATGGCATTTCTATACAATGGAAAGCTACTCAGCTATACAGATAACCTCAAGGCTCTTGTAGCTAACTGGATACAAACCTGAGATCATGCTGACGGGTGATAGTTCAGAGTCATGTAGGGAACATTGTGTTGTCTCCCTAGTATAAAAAACTAAAGGAGTTAGTGGAATCCAGAACACGCAGTAGATATTGTAAAGGTGAAAGGGGAGGAGATGTCTAGAGGGGGAAGGCAGTGGCCATTGTTAATCTATATCTTGTTTTGAAACCCTGCATTGTTCTGTTTAGCTTGGTTTTATTCCATTTTGTTTTATTTGATTTTATATTTGATGGCATGGATAGCTATTTCAAAAATAAAATGTATTATAGTAAGCCATTATTGATTTCCAGTTATCTTGTTTTGAAAGCCATATTGCTTTGTTTTCTTTCGATTGATTTTTATTTTGTTCTGATTTTATTATGTCTGATGGTATAAGCAGATACTTTAAAGATAATAGGATGCATTATGGTAGCTACTGTTGTATTCCTGTTGTCTTGTTTTGAAGTCCTGTATTGCTTGCATTGTTTTGTTTTGATTGATTTAATTCTGTTTTGTTTGATGTTATTATGCCTGATGGTATATAGGCAGTTATTCTGAAGATAACAAGAGGTATTATGATAGCCATTATTGATTTGCATTCATCTTGTTTTGAAGCCTTGTGTCATGTTCACTGTTTTCTTTTGATTGACTACTCTGTTTTGTTTTGTTTGTTTTATTATGTCTGATGGTATAAATACCTACTTTGAAAATAACAAGATGTGTTATAATAGCCCCTGCTGTATTCCTACTGTATTGTTTTGAAGTCTTATATTGCTTTCATTGTTTTGTTTTGATTCGTTTTATTCTGCTCTGCTTTGTTTGATATTATTATGCCTGGTGGTGAGGAAGTTAATCTGAAGATAGCAAGAGGCATCATGGTAGCCATTGTTGGTTTCTTTTTGTCTTGTTTTGAAGTCTTGTATTATGTTCATTGTCTTGTTTTGATTATCTCTATCCTGTTTTATTTCTCTCAGTTTTGTCATCAAAATAAAAAAAAATTTTTTTTTAAAAAGGTATCAGTGGAAGTCTTGACTGGCACTGGACAATATATTTCCAAAGTGCCTCACCCACACAGCTAACAAGTTGGTGCCAGTAGTTTGAGGGTACGCTAGTCCCAAAACATGGGGATCTTCCTACCCAAACTCCCAAAGCACTGCATACACACCCTTACAATATGCCATCTGGCTTCCCTTAAGGGAAGTGACCCCAGGGTCAGACAGAAGTGACAGTGTCATTTACGATCTGGCCTCAGAAAAAACATGGCATGATTTTTGGGGCACTCTTGGGTCACATCAGCTTTAATACCATGCAGGAGAAGATCACTCAATACATGAATCCCAGCCAGCAAGTATCTGTAGACTTCATCACTAGAGGAACCATATCTGGCAAATCAGATGTTCTGCCCAGGACTATGAGGAAGTTTGTTGCTACAAAGATGTAGCAACGATGAAAAATTACTTACCATTCAGCAAAAATATCAAGCTAGGGCAGCACCCAAGCAAACAATTACCCAGAGCACTCCAAACCGCGCTTGCCACTGCCTCACATATTTTGGTTCTTCTCATTCTCTAATCTTAATTCAGAATCTGCCAGTTCCGTGGCACCCCCAATATTCACTAACCTGCTGATTAATCATTTATCTTCTATGGTTTATAACAAAGGCCTTAGCTAATACAATCTTGAACCCTTCTGCTCTGCTCTCCAACACAATTCATTCTTCTTTTGCTCCAGATTTCATGCCCAGGAACCATCATTTTCTGCAGGAAATCTTACTTGATCCTGTAGACTAGAGCAGACACTATACTCCAGGCTTTTAAGTTACTCATTGTCTCCTGTTAATAAAAATAGCAATTATAATTATTATTATCAATTCTCTAATTGCTATTATATAATCAGTTTCTCTCCAGTAGAATGTTGGCCCACAATGGCAAAGAACATGAGAATCTTGTTCATTACTGTATCTTCAGGTCCTAACTTGACAGGTCTCCCAAAAAATAACATACAGGGGCTGGGGATTTAGCTCAGCGGCATAAGCGCCTGCCTTGCAAGCAGGCAGTCGTGAGTTTGATCCCCGGTACCAATAAAAAGGAAAAAGACAAAAAAAAAAAAAAAAAAAAAAAAAGTTACAGACTTCACTGTCTATGAGAGACCTGATACTCTTGAGGCTTCCATTTTTGATTTGGATTGACTCTGATCTTCACCTTTATTTCCTTTTACATTTGCCAATATATTTTCTGACCAGGTTTTCCACTGATATTTTCTAAGTCCAGTGTGATGTTGCTATCTTTTAGCCCCAAGCATTCCAGTTGAATACACACTTGTTTTGTGAATATTTTCCCTTATGGGGAAGCCAAAATATAATTAGTAGTTTGCTTCATGAACATCAAATTTGAAGAGGAAGGCAGTCAATTACGTGATTGTTCAATGGCATCTGGTGAAGGAGGCTTGACTGGGAACTGAGATGTCCCTGCCAACAAGTCTGACGGCTCCACGAGCCAGCTTTCCCTCACAGCACCAGTGCCCACTCTGGCTGTCTTTCCTCTCAGCTGACCAACTATCACTCTCCTCTTCCAACTGTGTCATTTTTTCTTTTGATATGCTATGGCTCCCCCTTTGCCATAGCATATGATCTGGGATGATCTGGGAACGATTCCTCTTAGGCACAATTTTCTCTGTGGTCAGCTTTGAAAATTAGAAAGGGGGAGAAAGCAGAATTTTAGGAACGACTCTAAATTTCAGGATTTGTTCAGTGAGGTAAAATTAGTGGGACCTAGATCACCAACCAGAGATACGAGGAAGAACATAAATCCTCCTGATATTAAAAGTAATCACTTGCTCCCCCACAGGACCAAATTAAAAGGAAATAGTAAAGCCTACTCTTCTTTAACCAAGCAAAATAGAATTGCAAAAGTTTCTACAGTCTGAAGGCGTTGCCTCAGTTTCTTGATTCACCAGCAGGAGCATTAAAAGAGGAAGAAAGGAGGGAGGAAGGAAGGGAAAGGAGGCACTCAAGCCCTCTGCCTCACTTCATAGCCCACACTCAACTGCCATGTCTGTGGTCACCTCCGCCCACACTGCACTTAGCTGACCCCTTCCAACACATTCCAACAGGTGAGCCTGTTGTCTCTCCCGGCCTCTTTGCCTAAATTTCTTTTCTTTTTTTTTTAAATTTTATTTAAAAGGAAAGAGAGAAAAAACAAAACAAAACAAAGTGGTGTAAGGGTACAAGTAATACAGAACTACAAAAAACAAAAACAAAAACAAAAAAACAGTAAGAAATCACCAGTTAATAGATTACACATTATCACATTATCATCTTAGAGATAGTTGCTCAAGTCACAGTATCAAAGCATACAAAGTGAACATTCAAACAGAGAGACTGCAAGCAGTTGTGTTCAATGATCCAACCAAAAACATCAATATGGTCAGGTATTTAACACCCCTAAACACACCTGCAGTTGTATACTTTAGAGGACTTTTTTCCCTCTCTTTTTTACAACAAGATTTACACATTTTGGGTTTTGTTACTCCTTATGTAAAAGTTCGTATTACTTTTTTTTTTTTTTTGGAAGAGAATAAAGTCAAATATGTCTTTGCCTAAATTTCTACAAGCTGCTTCTTTCACCCTTTCTGTATAAACCATTGTCACCACAGAGGCTTGTTAGGACAGACAGGTTTCCCAGCCACAGACTTCTGCAAAGACTCTTCTTCGTGGCTTTTTGTGATCCTATAGACAGGTATCTGCCTCCCTTCAGGGTCTGGACTTCTCTGGGTGAAATTACAGCAAGTCCCTGACTTATGAATGAGCTCCATTCTGGGAGAATTGTTCACACGTTGGATTCCTTTGTAAGCAGTGCATCTGTGCAAGTTCATACCTCGAACCTTCCTAAGTGGTTTTTGTGTGTGTGTGTGTTGAGTGTATTTGAAATCATCCTGACCTAGCTGATGCTCTGATGAAGTGGACTCAGATAAAAAGACTTTGATAATACAAGTTCACTTGGGTTTTTCCCCCAGCATGCACAGCAAAATTAACACGGAGAAAATTTTACCAAACCACAAAGTATCTTGATACAGATTTTCCCTGAGTCAATGAGTTTCACCTTCCCTTTACATAATAAGCCTGGGCTCACAAGCAACTTCTGTCTGAATGAAGAAAATCAGCTCCAATTTCCCTCTTCATGATCTTTTACCCAGTAAAGAAGTAGCTTGCAGCTTTCCCCAACAAAATAGAAACCAAAAAAATAGTTCATTTTGACACATAATCCTCCTTATCCCTATGTAAAAAATTATACAACACCCACAATCATTCAAAATGTAAGAGACTGTGGAACTGATTTGAAAGGTGTGGTACCAAAGGCAACTGAACCCCTTAGCATAGGCATGAGCTCGGAAAAAGTGGCCTATATTTGGTCCAAGTAGCAACCCTATTTAGACCCAGCCTCTGTAATAGGGAGGCATTTATCTCACCCCACGTCCCTGCATCCAGTGATTGGGTCTGAGGTGGGACCATGCTTCAGTGTCACTTAGGAGAACCCAGATGTGGCCCTACCTTTGAAGTAGAGAAGGTTTCTCTGCTGCAAATGAGCTGTGTGACCTCTACACAGCCTGCCTTCAGGTGAAGCCACGGGAGGAAATGAAACCACCAATAAATGTGGATCATAGGAGGTACATGGTACTCAACTATACATTAGATTTAGCTTTGGGTTGTTATTTTGGTTGGCAATTTCTGTCACTTTCCATTGAAAGCTTCTCATCTGATAAACACTGATTAATTTGTATACTAGAAGGTTGTGGCGTGAGGGGAATAGGTGGGGAAGCAGATTTTCTCTTTTTACTCTAAATTTGTGCCTATGGTAACCACTATGATAACAGGAAGTACAATTTAATTGGAAATTGGCTAACATAGTTCTAGAATAATCATTTAAAGCTAACTGCCCGAGTAGTTTTGATGTCAGATCTCCTATTATAAAGTACGTTTCTCCTGATTAGTACTTGATTAAACAACCACAACAAAAATAACCTCTTCAAACTGAAATATCAACAGCTTTCTGGGTTCCATTTTTCTCAGCAAGATAATGAGCATGGCACACTCTCTAGCATGTTTTAATTGGATGAATATTAGATATACAATTTTTTCTGTCATTCACGCTTTGCAAACTAAGAATTTCATTACATCGTAGAACTACCACATAAAGATTTCCTTACATTTGTCACAAATACATTTCCACACACAAAAATAATTGCTACACCTTGACAATTTATATATTAAATTTTGCTTCAAATTGCTCACTGTAATTCATACAGCATTTAGCCTAGTTGAAGCATTCTTCTTTTGACCATGAATTGTTCTTTGCAAAATAGATTTTTCATAGAATAAAATTCAGTACATTTTTGATTGACCATTAAGTCTAAACAGTTATTAATTGTGCACTCTGTTCTATAAGAGAAAAAAGAACCTGAAAGTGTGGCCGCTGCCCTCTGAAAATTTATAAGCTAGCTCAGATGAACAGATGGACCAGAGGAAAAATTTAGAATCTTTGTCCCAGCAAAATGGTACTAAAGTGACTATGATACAGAATCACCAAGTGAAAAGAAAATAGTTAATAGACAGGTTTTTAGTATTTCTTATTTGGCTCATCAGGAAGAAATAGTTTAGTCAAGAAAAGGTGCCTAAAACCTAGAAAGTCATATAGTATCCACAGTGAATAATTTTTATTATTTATCCATTTAACAAACAGTGACAGACATTTCACATATTAGGTGATATGTTAGATGCCCTTAGTCTCTCATGTTTTGTTTAGTTTTTTGGATGTGTATCAGTCATGAAAATCATTATCCATGATCATCACTGCTTTATTCAGGGGCCACAGTGGACCTGCTTCCCATATGAGACTGTCACAAACACACACATACATGCTTCCTGATATGTGTAGCCATACAAGCATAAGAATGTAAAATTCTTGATCTTCAAATGCTTTAGTATATAAGATCTGAAATTCTCTTTAAAAGAAGTCGAGCCCATTTATATTCCTGCCAGCAATGAAAAAGATATCCCGTTGATCCACAGCCTCACCCCCGCAGTTGGCATTGAGAGACTGCTTAATCCTTGCTAGTCTATTTTGTATAAAATACCATTTAATTTTTGTTTAGATTTGTTTACCTAATGAAGTTGTGGTTTGGTATCTCTTCATGTATTTTCTGGATGTGTGTGTGTGTCTCATGCTCCATTTTGACTCTCTTAATATTCTTAATACCAAAGCTATTAGTAGGTATTAACTAGAAAATACATGATTCTAGAAAGTTGAAAAAGAGGCTCACTGAAGGATAAAAGACTCGGGTATTCTTTTCTCCTTGAGAGAATGTGAAAGGAAACTTGTACTTTGATCTGGTAATTAGAGAAAGAATTAAGCTCCCCCAAAAGATTTGCCTTTTATGATACCAGACAAGTCTACGTCAGATTCTTTGATTCCTTACTTAGGGTTAGGGTTGGGGTTGGATTAGCTCGTGAAATTCCAACCAAATAAAAAAGGAAGAAATGAACCAGAAAGTCTCTTTCCCATAGAGCAATTCTAAATGACTTTAAACCAACAGCTTTCCATACTAAAAGGTGTGTGAGTTCTGGTTCAGTCTGAGGATCGGTTCACTAGGACCGATCAAGGACACAGAATTCTCAGGTCACCTTAGAGCCAGCTTAGAGTCTTGACAAGGCCATCAGGATGATCTCTGTTGTGAGACTACAGGAAATCATTTCAAACAAAAGCAGAATTAGAATACACTTTAGAAGCAGAAGGCCAGGCCTGCCTGCTCTGGGCACATGGCCAAATCCAATAAA